AGTTTGTTGGAATATTCATTGGAATTTCCAATGGAAATTTTTGCCGTTGGAATTTTTCGTTGGAATTGAAGTGTTTTCTTGTAGTGGTTTAGGTGCCCTAGAAATGAAGATTACGTATCTTTTTTTTTTTTACTACCTACAAAATAAAAATACCTCAACTTATAATAAATCAACATACCAAAGTCCAAACAATAACATTAATATTATAAATAAAACATGATAATAAAATAATATAATTAGTATTAAAAAAATAAAAACTTGCTGCCAAGCCCGCGTAGGCGCGCCTAGGTCCGCCAAAACGCCGGCAAGCTGCCTGGCTGCCTAGCCCGCCAAGCCTGCTTAAGAGCGCCTAGGCTCGACTAGGCGCCGCCTTGCCGATTTTTTCAGCCGATTTATGCAAAACGGAGGTGTAACGCCCCACTTTTATTTTGACGAAAGTCAAAAGTCAACTTAATTTTTTTCAGATTTCTTTTCATAAATCAGTGGCGCTACTCGAACTAAATCACATAAATAACATAAATCATAAATCAAATGTTTTCATAAATCCCAAGTTCATCCAAATTATTCATAAGGGAACATCTCCCAATCCAAAGTTCTCAAAATTCCAAAGTCATAAATCATAAATACCAAAGTTCCCAAGTCATAAATAAGCATGAATAAACCCAAGTCTACTAGCATGCGGAATAGACTAAATGAAGTCAGTCAAAGACCAACACCACTCGTCTCTGTCTCGTCAGCCAACACCTGCTTAACCTGCATCCATGAAGAGCAGGTGGGAGTGAGCACGGTGAACTGTAGTGCTCACTACTATGCACATGAATAATAATATAGTACGAGAATTAAATGGCATGGTCGTTGTATGAACATAGTCAATAAATATCCCATCTCCTAACCAAAGTAATTCTCATGTGCACACCTATAACAATAGACTGCTGCTCGTATGCCTTTCGGCGAACATAAATGGGGTGCCCAAACAGCAGGAGGCTCAACCGTCACAGCACGCACCTAGTGCTGAGACAGGATATCCATCACCGGCCAGGGCACATTGCCAAGGTCTTACAGATGACGTGGTCCTTAACCAAGGACAAACGTGGAGATTACCCTTACAGGGTACGTTCTATAGCTACGGGGATAACCGTTCGACGGCCGGTACAGCTCACATCGAAGATTACATGCTCACATGCATACATTGATCATACCCACATAAATAAAGCAATTTCATTCAAGGCATAGACAAATTTTGAGTAACCCACCTGGATATCGCGGTAGAATATTGCAAACAAAAGCAAGTACGTAGGTCGAGGGCTAGACTCCTCAAACACCTACATTTAAGTGAGATAATACATCAATAATCTATCTCACTACTCGAATTTATTATAAAACCCATACTTAATAAAATTAAGACTTAAGGGTTTTAATCGGATTTTTTCGTGGACTTGGAACTCTCTCATTTTTGAAAAATATGACTCGGAGAAGTAAATTGGGGGCTCGAAACTTATAAAATAATTTTTCCAAAATTTTTCTCATTTTTAAAATATTTTTAAAATTTAAATTGGTATTAAAACGGACTTCGGAACACAAAATTTGGCTAAAAACCGAATTGGGTCCAAGCTGCCAAGCATTAGACAATACTGCCCTACTTGGGCCGCACACATGCAAATTTGGGCCGAAA